GAAATAAAATGTTAACAAATTTTTCACCTAATTTGTTAATATCATTACCACATTCGGGATACGTTTATAAAATTTTGTGATTTTTATAGACATGACACAATTTTTTTATCAATTAATTAAACTTCCAAAATATTGTAAAGGAGTCTAGGGGAGTACGAAGGGCATTAATCAAAAGATATTTAAAAAATGTCAGAGAATTGGCATTACAGGAATTAATTTGGAATTACGGGAATTTCTCTGAATTTCTTTTGGAATTATTGGAATTTCGGTGGAGTTATTTTAGAATTGAAAGTGGTTGTAGAGATTTTTTTTTAATAAATATAAAAAATTTACAACATTAAAAAATTAATTTTGTTATTATCGTTCTTCAAAAATTTTCACGGGCGAGGCTTCAGCTTCACTGACCTCGTTCTTTGACTTTTTTTACAGAGGAATAATGTTTAAATCCTATTCCTTCTGTATATTTTTCCATTTGTGATAATCAGGAAATTTTTTTAACAGTGAACATTTGAATTTTTTATATTTTTTATTTTAAAGTGTAACAATTTTCAATAGCTGATGATGGCGCAAGAGTGCCAAAACATGTCCCAACTTGACTAAATAAAATTTATCGATTTGTGAAGTTGACTTTAATATTACTTACTGTTTAAAAAAATAAAATAATTGTTATCGCCGGTTCAACAACCGAAAATTCGGCGTTAATTTTGAGTAATTTTGACTCTTGCGTAGCCAATAAATCAAAATTCCAGCTCCCAACTGGAGGATATTTATAGTTCATCGGCGCGTTTTTCTTCTATCGCCGCCGTCAAAAGTTATAAAATCGGGAATTCGTGTTATCGTTCTATTTCTGTGTTGAGAGAGGGTATGGGTCTGGGGATATTAATGATCGTTTCTTCCCATTTGGGCGCGCGGTCGAGGCTTTGTGCCTGGGTTGACACGCTCCATCGAGCGTGTAACAGCAGGCAGTAATCACAAAGACAATAGTCGAAGAGAAGCGAAGAATTGACCATACGTGTGACTCGACTTCGTCATTATATGACGACCGACTCACTTCACACTGTCAAATATTGGCCGAATCGATTTGACGCGACTTTTGTGTGCTGTTTGGGCTTTGCCGTTCTGCCGCCAAAATTTTCACTTTATTGCTGGAACGAGCAATAACCCCGAGATTTGATGCGACAAAAATAATTGCTCATGATTCAAAAGAGTAAAACCACTGAAGACATTTTTTTGAGACGTCCTGTAGCTACATTTGATTAAGGTTTTTGCTATTTTCATATTGTAATACCTACATGTTTTTTTAACATAATACAACACAAAATTACTGTCCTAAAGCTTCAAGGGGCCGCTAACTCAAAAAAATGTGTACCTACAACTGATTATAATTTTTTTTAAGAATTTCAAAAAAATTTCACTGAAATTCTAGTAACTCCAATAATCCATTAAAATTCCAAAATAGGTACTTTCTGTAATTACAAATAAATTTTGATAGTTCTAAAAAATTATTGTAATTTTTAAAAGAAATTAAAAAAATTCAATAGTTACAGATAATTCCAGTAATTTCAATAATCTATCGTACTTTTCCATTGTTATTAGAACAATTCCTTTAATTACAAATTAATTATTGTAATTCCAAAATATTTCCTCTAATTCTAAATTAGATTTTTCTACGTCTTTACATTGATAATATCATATTTATATTGAGAAGATTGAGTCTGGTTCTGGAATAATAAAACTTATTCTCACATATTTCAAAATGATTTTAGTCAAACGTAAATTTGAGAACCTTTATGATAAAATAAAAAATATATTATTATTCTATTACTATGCACAAAGATAAAGTTTATAAAACGAGCAAAGTGCGAGTTTTTTAATTTTTTGAGTATATAATGGCCACTACATATATGCGAGATGAAAACTATACTTTGTCTACTGTTACGTAAATGTTACATTTTTAAGCTCTTGTGTCTCTCATTTTTTATATGCTTTCGTTTTTATGTTAAAATATATTTGTTCCCATTTTTTTACGTTCCAAATTACTTCCGGTAATTGTACAAAATTTAACAAAATTTTCAAAAGAAACTATCCAAAAAAATCCAGTAGTTTACAAATAATTTCAGTAATTTCAAACAATCCCATCATAATTCCAAATACATACTTCCAAATAACTCGAGACAATTTCGATTAAATTCCTAAAAATTGTACTACTAATTCCAGAGTCAACGGCCCCTCGTAAAGTTTCAAAAATTAATAGTCCGGGAGAGATGGACCACTAATAGTTTCTAATTATTATTTTTTTAATGTGTAGTATTTTACTTTTTTTATTAATAATTAAGATGCTATAAGATTTTAAGACAAAACATATAATGTATTAGCAAAATTTTGCAAAAAAAATTGATAAAGCTACAAATAATGTGAAAAAATATGTACCTAGATTGTTATTTGCACATAAGTTGAGTACAGTCCTGGAATAATATTTCAAATAAATATTTTTTATTATTGTAGAACATGCGTGTTTTAAATAACCAAAAATACAGGGTGCGCCAGAACTCGCGTCCCAGAGAAAATTTTCAAGTAAGGTAAGATACCAGGAACATGAAAAAAATGTTTAAAAAATTCTATCTGTCAAAAAAATTTGACATTTATTTTTTGACATATGACATTTTTTTATGTCTATTTAATGATACTGATGATCTTGTATATGTTTTTTTTTTATGAAACATCCTATATTTGTTTTTACAGATTGATTGCATATTTGGCAAGCTTTTTAACGATTTGGAGTTTGTGTAATAAATTTGGAATATTTTGGGTTAGTGTGTATATCTTAAATATTATTATTTAAAACAATTATTATTATCAGCACAAGTACTAACGAAAATAATGCTAATTCAAATGAAAAAGACTTAAACTTCCTCATTAAAAAACATCACAATAACCCCACCTTGTATATGTTTTTTTACAATTATTTAGTAAAGGGACAAAAGTTTTGCCAATAAAAGCCACAAATAACATTGAACAGAGTTACAATTTAGGACACAGCTTCCTTGTTTCCCTTTTTAATAGCCTATAGCAAAAAAACTTGGAAAAGTTTTTTCCCAACAGAAATAAATAGAGTCAAAGTGCAAACTTTAAACCTTCATAAATTCGAAATTTTTACAGATAAATTTTTTTTAACATTTTTTCCATGTTCATGGTATCTTACCTTATATGGCATTTTTCTCTGGGGCGCGAGTTCTGGCGCAGCCTGTATAGGAACGCATTTAAACATGTGTATAAAATTAATATTATACTAGTTTTTTCTTTCTTCTGAAAAATTATGATTTTCATAAAACCATATAAAGGAAAAAAATTACATTTTTACAATTTTTTTTCAATTCCAAAAAAAATCCAACGAAATTCCAGTAATTTCAATAATCCATGTAATTCCATTGTTTCTGTAATTCCAACTTAATTTCCATAATTCCAATTTAATTCCAATTGTTCGAAATAAATTTAATCTAATTTTTAAACGATATTAAGATAATTTCAAAAGACTCCAGTAATCCACAAATAATTTCAAACAATCCAAAAATAGTTTTAATAATTCCAAATGTGTATATTTACTTCGAAATAATTCCTAGCAATTTCGATTAAATTCCAAAAGTTTATGTATAAACTTAGTTGTAACTAATTTCAGAGTTAACGGCTCCTTGCCGCGCTATATCTCACTTTGTATAGTACTTATCAACAAAATATGGAAAAATGATAATTTTCTTCACAATCACTGTAGTAATATCACGAATCGTAACTTTTTATAAAAGTCGGAAAATTAGTCATTACGTCCCATGGTCAGGAAATAATTTATGAAGAATTACCAAAGTTAGGAACCTATCAAATGTGAAAAACTTGATTTGTTAGCATAGCAAGTTTGACAGAAAATGGCTATTTTATTATTAAAAAAAAAAGTGATTGCAAATAAAATAGTGTATAAACCTTGGTGACGGTCAATAAGTGTTTAAAAAATTTTTAATCGTCAACATAAAAACAATCATTATCCTTGATAAATATTAGAAATTAAAAAAACGAGAATAGACAGTACCTAAATGTATAAGATATAAGATATTTCACTAGCCGATAAAAACCTACTTTATCTACTGAAATTAGTTGTTAAAAGCACGCTTTAACATTGAGTACAAAATAAAAAAAATTGTTTACAACATTGAGAGTAACTAAATGATTACAAAAACCACCCGAGCGATAGTACAGTATTTTTTAATCACTCTGTTATGTCGATATTTTTTGATATTTTTTAAAATTTATGATTAGATTAGGCAACTTTTAGAAAAATAATTAAAACAATGATGTTTCTGTGTGTCAACAGGGTAAACAAAAAGTATAAAACCATTGTTTTTAATCATTTGCTTTCAGAAAAGAATAATTAATAAAAATTAAAGTGCTATAAAAATGTGATCATGTTTTGAGAGTGAAATTTTGTTTTGCGTTTTAGTTATGCAATTTTTTTGTCAAAATGGCAACTTATACCTAGGTATAAAATATTATTGATAAAAATTAAATAAAATGTAGACAGTTGTGATCCTTAGATCATAGATCATATATATCATTTGAAAAAAAAAGGTTTTAACTAGGTAGCAATATAAAAAAATTAAAAATTTTGCAGAACTTCTTCGAAAAATTTTATTCTTGATGAACGTTTAATTTTTTTAGTAGGTATTTTATTATTCATCAATTAGTTTTTTTTTAATAAATATTTGAAGCAAAAAACGTTTTGTTTCATAACTTTTGTTCATCTGGTATAGAAAAAAAAGCATACAAAATTAGAAATAACTTTCGAGAAATTGATAGACAATGCATTTTGATGATCATAAATCGTTGATTTAAAACCAAACGTGATGCTAGAGTTATGTTTCAATTGCAACGGTTGCCAATAGAATATAATTGCAAAAAAATAAAAATTCATTTGACAAGAATAATAAAAATACAGTAGGAGAAATGACACTCACCAGAACATCCAAAGAGATTAGATCCAATAGTCATTGCATAACAACACTGTTTAGTTTGATGGCTTCTTACAAGTTTTATAACACTACTAACACCAATTTTAAGAGAATTGAAAAGACGTCGAGCGACGGATCTCTAATATATTTTCCTAACAAAAACACAGAATATTTTTACTGCAAAAGGAGTTTTTTGTTGATTTTACTATTAGAGTGATGAACATTTTCCGTCGGAAAAGTTGTCAGTTTATTTTTTCTTGAGGCTCTTTATAAAGGTAAGAATGTTATTGAGTTGTTTGTTTGCATTTTAAATGTTTTATGAATTTATTATTACCTCTTACAATTGAGAAATGAGAAGTAAAACCTTATCACATCATGTGATTATAATGGAGTTTAATTGTCAATAGTGATTTTATTAATAAAGTCAAAACAATGAAGTTAATAAATTAAACAATTAAACTTTTTTACGGTATTTCTGGAATCTAATCAAGTAAGGAATTTTTGGTGTTACAATAAACTAATGAGAATAACCGAAACTGATTTTTATAAACACCCTGTATTTGTACATTTATATTTATAAAAATAGTTGAAAAACTGTATTTGTTCTGATCTCATTCATTTGACTTAAAAGAAAAGAAAATTTTCAGTCTGAAAATGATCACATTTTTGGATATTATGTTGTTTCATCTATTGGTTTAAATAGCTACAAAAAATTAAAAGTAACATTTTATTCTAGAGAAAATCATAATCGCTAACTAATTTTCATAAAAAAATGAGAAATGAAACAAAATTTCAAAACAAAACAAAACTGAAACCAAAATATTAAATCATTTTTATCGGCATTTATTTATCTCTACTTTCAAATGTGTAGCTAATTAAATGATTAATTATTATGGTTACCATTTTTATGTTAATAGTTATTTATTCGACGAGTTTGAGTGTAAATCGGACTCTTTATTTGACCGAGTGGATTTTTAAACCACGAGTGTAACGAGTGGTTTACCATCCACGAAGTGGAATAAAGCGTCCGATTTACACTCAAACGAGTGGAATATAACATTTTATTCTTCGAATTAGAGTCAACAAGGCTTAAACTTGCTTTAAATCTGTTAAAAATAATTTGACGTTTTGTATTGAGAAATGCCAAACAGTTGTCAAAACTTCCTTACACGGGAGAAAAACCGTAAATTTTGAGTGTCGAAGAATAAAATTATATATTTTTAGCTTTTGGCAAAAGTATTTCGCTAAAAAAAATGTTTATATCTTTTCTTTGTAAAAGAGTTTTTGAAATTTTTGTTTTAAAAATGCGATTAAAATAAATTAAATGTTTATTATTATTACCATTATTATTTATTAATCTATTTAATTTTACTATTGTTTAGTTCAATACATTTTTTTAGAAAATGAACAGGTTATTTCCATTTTTCAATTAATTTATCCTAAACAAATGGTAAAAAAACACGATTTCTCCTAAATCATGATTCCAAATACAGCAAAAATAACAAAAATATGTCCATACTTTTCCTTGTTTTGACAAAAAACGGATAGGAATTAAAAAAAAAAGAACACGGCAAAAGACCTACAATTCTTACTTCAAAGTAAATTTTTCAAAAAACATGGCACCTAGAATTTATACTAAGTACATGAAATGGTCAAAAGTCGTTAAAACCTGGTTTATGTGAAAATATTTTTAGCCAAATTAAAAAAAAAGTATTTTTAAATCGTTTTTTACCACTTTTAATATTAGTATTAATACTTAGGTATTAAAAACGCTTTTCTTCTTCGACACTGTCAAAATTTACGGTTTTTCTCAAGTGTAAAGAAGTTTTGACAACTGTTTGGCATTTCTCAATACGATTATTTTTAACAGATTTAAAGCAAGTTTAAGCCTTATTGGGTCTAATTCGAAGAATAAAATGTTGTATTTAAATCGTTTGAGTGTAAATCGGACACTTTAGTCCACCTCGTGGATGTTAAAAATTAAAAATCCACTCGGTGAAATAATGTGTCCGATTTACACTCAAACTCGTAAAATAAATAACTATTAGTGTGGAATAAAACGGCATTTTTAATCACCGAATTTTTAAATTTCTAATAGGTGCATAAACCAAAAACAAGATAAAAAACATTATCTTATTAAAATCAATACAAATCAATAAACATAGGAGATTTTTTTCAGATTTTTCTTTCAATTTGAATACATAGTAATAATAAAAAAAATATTAATTTCATCTCCATATTTTTGATAATTATAATATTTTAAACATTATACAGGGTGTGTTAGAACTCGCATTCTATAGGAAAATGCCAAGTAAGATTAGCTACTAGGAACATAGAAAAAATGTTCTCTCTCTCTGCCAAAAAATTTTGACATTTATTTTTTGACATTTTACTTTTTTATGTCTATCTACCTATCTATTTATACTCGGTTTCATATTAATGTGGATCAAAGTAATCGTTGAAAAGAATCATTTTAAGGTGTCAACCATGCAAAAATTCAAACAATTCTAACCTCAATCTTCCCTACAAATTATTTTTTCAAATAAATATGTACCCCAGGTAGCAAAAAATAATTAAAATTAACAACGTAATTAGCATAGGGAAGCGAACATAAAGATTTTTTGTCATTATTAATAAGATTAAATTTGTTCTGAACGACATTAATGACACTTTTTGTATGAATCGGCCTTTAAATTAAAGATGCACTTACACTTCTACAACCTACTTTGATGTACTTAAAAAGAGTATAATATTAGGTATCGATAATCTTGTATGTTTTTTCATAATATTATACAGTAAAAATGTCAAAAAAGCCACAAATAACGTTAAAATTATTTATCTAACAGAAAAAGTAGGATCAAAGTGCAAAATCTAAACCCCCATAATTTGAAATTCTTATATTGATAGAATTTTGTAAACATTTTTTCCATGTTTTTTCTCTGAGGCGCGTATTTTGAAACACCCTGTATTTCTTAATAATTATTAGTTTTAACAATATACCTAATTTTTCGTAGCAAACCAGTAAAAGAAAAAAATTAACACACAAAAAACGAAAGTAGTAATGTTTACCTATTATTACAAAAATGTTCAAAGTTGCAAAAAAGTGCTTCAAATTGTTGAATGCCGTGTTAGTTAACTAATTTCTTCCTAATGGCACAATTTTGGTTTATTTTAAAACGTGGCAAATTTGAAACTTAATATTACTTTTGTTAAAATGAAACACCAAATAGTCGGTGCCCGTTTTCCAGTTTTGCTAAAAAGTGTTTGTGCTTCAGCACGTTTTCAAAAATAAATTTTTCGTAACACATAAAAGCCAAACAGTCACCACCCCCGGCCACTTGTATCTTCGCCGTCCCCGGTCGGCGGCGTCGTGCTCACCCCGCGACTCCGGCCCCCCGACTGACGTGTGAGAAGCTCGTCCGCCGCGAGTCCGACCAGAAAACGTGATCGTGCCAAATCACATATTTGCTAAAAGGGCAGCTCCACTTACCTTGCCGGGAGTCCGGAACGTGACTCTGCCGTGGGGTTGCCGCTGTGAATAAGCGTCGGCAATTAGACGGATGATATGTCACACTCGCGGGGCTGGGCTGCCTGCCACCACTGCTATTCTACCACCAGCTAGTTGCTCTGCTTGCTTTCTGATGGTGTAATCCGCGCGCGCGATTTCTACACATGCACTGCACCGTCTGATGTCGACGACGATGACGGTGACGGGTTCCAGGAGGCGGGACTAGCTCTTCATGCAGACACGACACCCCTCAGCCACGCACATTGATGACACATTTTACCGAAGAGATGAGGTGTGTGTGTGTGTGATGAGGGATGACAAACTAACACAAACGGTGGACCAAAACGTCTAATGTAAACAAGCAAAAACGACGAGCAATTTCAAATATCTCAGGACGTTAAAAATGTAAAAAAAGATACTTAAAACATAAAATAGGACATTATAATAGGAGAATCGATCATAAAATCCAAGAAATCACATGTTTTTTTAATTTATAATATCTCAGATAATAATATACAAGGTGTCCCAACAAATTAGTAAACTCCTTTTAATAATAAAATTTAAAAGATGTATAGAAGGTGCGCCAGAATTCGCGTCCCAGAAAAAATGCCAAGTGAGATAAGCAACCAGGAACACGAAAAAAATATTTGACTTTTTTATGTCTAGATATTTAATATTACCGATGATCTTGTATATGTTTTTTCATAATAGTAGGTAAAGATACAAAAATTTTGTCAAAAAAGCCACAAATCACGCTTAATTATTTATCC